AATCACAGGGGCGAGTCTTACTTTTTCCAGGCACAACACTGACCTTGGCAGTTCACACTGAGCCCCTTTTCCTGCCAGAGAGAGACGATTGAAGGGTACTTTCTCAGCCACTTGTCTGACGAATTTGTAAAAGCACTATTGTTGTTTTTATATCAAATGTCCACAGTAATGACTGATGTAGAAGGAGCATGTCAGGGCAACATTCTAAATGAAATGTATTCTGTAGCCAATATACTCATTAGTTTACTCATTACTAATTATATTATCATCATCATTATTAGTAATGGTAATAGTAGCAGCATTTGAGCAGATTCTTAATTTTCTAGTAATAAATCTGGTCATTTCAGTTTCAATAATTTAAACCACATGGCAAAACTAGCTCTCATCTGAAAGGTCAAGTTGATGAAAGGGACAGCACAGACCCTACCACAGGAAGCGGCCTGGTGCAACAAAGAGGAAAATGGGATTTGTGGATTGAAAGAGGCATCAAATATGATTGTGCATCAAAATAAAGTCTCACAGAAATGTCGAGCCCTCATTTGCCCATGAGCCGACATACAGAAGTGAAATGTTCTTTAAAATCAAATATGTAGAAGACGAAGGGTGTCCTGATTCAGGGTAAACCTTTTTTGAAGAGTTGGGGTATTTTTAGAGGAGACAGCTTTATGCATTGATAAAAGTGTCTTCCCACACTCGATACGCTAATTAGCTCATTCTTTCAGCAGCAGCTCCGAGACGCAACAGATCTGACTGTTCTGGTTTCTGTTTGGCGACTGTCCCTCGCTCAGGTTTTCTAAGCAATGTCAAAATGACAGCAACTTTGTTGTCTGTATTAGTCTGACTTGGCTATGATCCACATACGCTAAAAGGATTATTATACTGGTTGATCATGCTTTACCTTTGTAGTAAGAATAGGGTGAAGTTTTATTTATATTTATCAGCATCCTTCTTCTATTCTGCAGTTTGCACATTCACCAATGGATAATGTATGTGTAACTAACTCAATTGGCACACAAATATAAAATATACTGAGCCCTTAAAGAATGTATTATTTAAAACTGCAAAAAATTTACTTTTGATATTGTCAGGAAAATCCCAATCTTTTTACAACAGATGCACTGACTTGTAATTGAATAGAAATGACATAGGTACATTTATTACACTGATTAACATTTGCCATCAACAGGGGATCTGCTGTGAAACTCACAAAGATTAATTGAGGCCAATATAAGCTGAACATGTGTGGTGTTTACTTACACCAGGTTGCAGAAGCTGTCTTGTGGGATTCTGTCCCATTTCATGATAGAGCCTGAGCCATTCGAATGTTCTCTGGCCTCTGAGTTCCAGTTGTCGCACATCATCCCACCTCTTCACACAAATGCTAAACAAGGCTCAAGTCTGGTAATTAGGGCATCTTCAGCCTCACTGTCATTTTTGTATCTTGCAACGAAACCATTGTTAGGCAATCGGCATGAGGACTTCCTGGAAGGGCAGGAGATGATGGTCCCATGATCAGTAGCACCATGCTGTATAGTTTCCAACAAACACTACAAGGGGAGTTTTATAGCATTGTTATAGCCTTGCTCCGAAATTCACACGTGGAATTGTGTTCTGTGTTTCTCTTTCTTTATTTTTATCATTCTTGACATTAACAAGTTGAAATTACTTCATCCCCAGTGCCCTCTTTACCCTCTCACTAATTTAATGTAGTGATTATGCCACAATCAAATTCACTTGAGTGTATCACTTTAAGTCATAAATGATTGATTATTCAGAATAATCCTGCAAATATTTAGTCATTATAAATTAAAACACACATGCATAAATAGTGGTTCATTTCTTTTGATGTTCACTATAGCTGATTTTATATATATATACACCTGACAATTGACTGCCGCTGGAGAATCAATGCAGTGTAGATTGCGGTCTGATAAACAGCGTTCAGTTGGTATATCAGCAACAAAAGCTCTCATTTCTTTAATTTTTCCCAAAGGAAGCAATGGAGAACTGAAGATTCAGCTACTTTGTAGACTTCCACACCTTTTAAAAATGGATTTCTAAAGCCATCCCCATAAAGAGCATTGCTGTAGAGTAGGCTTGCTCCCTCCCGCGTGGCCCACAGATAACGGAGCTGTGATATGATCTGGGATTACATCTGTCTGGCCATTGCGGTGACGCCGTGCAGTGTGTGGCGAAGAGTCAGGTTGCTGCCCCATTGAGAAGGTCAGCATGTCTGTGGACACCTGGGTCGCACCAGCAGGTGGGGGACTCAGTAAAGGGCAGGTCCCCCTGTGCTTGTTCTGCAGGAGTAGTGTCTGTGCATGGCCCCGTTGTGGTATGCTGGGAGGGAATTAACAGTGGGCCTCCACATAGCAGCCATTCTCTATCAACATCCACCCTGTCAGTGGGGTGTGTATGGGTCACTGAAGCAGGGTCAATAGGAATTGATTTTTCTTTTCTTTTCTTTTCGGATGGAGGAGCTAACTCCATTGTGGGTAAGCCACTTTGCAATGAAGGGGAGAGGCTGATCAGGAGTAAAATCTGTGTCTACTTTCTCTGAAATTAAGAACCAGGGAATTGTTCATAGCATGGGACTGCATTGAAAACAGTCTGGACACATGGCCTCACATTAAATCCACACAGCAAAAAAACAGTGTAAAGAAAATGAATGAAAGGTAACACTGTGCCCAGTGCCCAAAATCATTTTACCTCTATTCCACCAAAGCTGTTTGTAATGTGGAGGTATAGGCCTGCATTCAGCAGAGCCTTCCTGGGTGAGAAAAAGGGGTTTACTTTCTCAGATAACAGAGAAGGAAACCAAAACACACAGGTCAGTTTAAAGTAAACTAAATTATTTATCAACAACACATAAATCCTTAGAATTGGCTTTTTCAAATGTCACTATGAAAAATTTTGAAGAAGTTTTTTAATGATTTATGGCTGTTCTTTACTGTAAATCTTTCCATCATATTATAGCTGAAGGACAGATTATGACCGTTTGGTTGAAGCTCATCTGTCTGTGCCACTTGGCACCCCACACATTTTGTCCCTGCGTTGAGCTGCAGACGCAGTGAGGGATAAGAGGATGGGAGATCTAATCTGAGCCAGGCAGACAGTAATCCTCGTTCACTGACCACCTGTAAGCGTGAGCAGAGAAGATCACAAGTGGATTCGAAAGTCCTTTAGGGCATTAACAGAGTCAGTACAGGAACACGAAGACAGAGGGCACGGCAAATGGAAATGCTGAAAGCAAGAGGCCATTTTAATGAAGCCACCAGCCCAGCTTTTTTCAAGAAGCAGCTGGATGAGATCCACAGATCAATAAGATACTAGCTACCAAATAGGCCAGTAACTATTCTTATGATCACGTTTTAAACACAGCCACAATCACTCGACTGGACTTCACGGAACTGCAGGCCGTTATTATGTCAAAAACGCAGAAGCCGAAGTTAATGGCAATACCTTCTCCGCGTACCACGCAGTGCATGAAGATGTATTCGTTCAGGGGGTCGGATCTATGGGGTATGTCACCCACAGGATTGTTAGTCTTTCAGAGGCAGCATAATGAAAATCTGCATTTATCCACTTACTTCTTTAATGCTCTGTGGCAAAGAAGCTCAGAACGGCTTTGCATGTTGGGCCTCCATTGGCAATTCGTTCTGTTTGAGTCAAGAAACAGAAAGCTAACAAGGCCTCTTTTTTATGTTTGCCTACGCTTGTTCATGGTTACCCTCTGCTTATTGCATACAGTATTCAGTAATCTTGGGATTTTTCCAGTTTTACATTTACAACTTGCCACAAGCTAAAAATCTCTTTGTGTGCAGTTTTCACACAGGGAACAGCATGTGAAAAGGTAGAAATGTGTGTGTGTGTTAAACATAAGTTTAAAATCTATTGAAAATACAACAGGAAAACCAGCCCTTCAAATTCACATTTCAGAAGACATTGTCTTTATATACCCAGGAAACTCAGGAAGATCATTTGCATGATTTGCATTGTGGAGTGGTGGGCTGAAACACTCACTGGAAAATGGTAAACCATATCAAATTCTCAGGTCTGAATGGAGAAGGAGAGCACTAAGTCCCTCAGTTTGGAAATATGTGAAAATGAAATAAGGAAGAGAAAAAGAGGTGACAGTCGAGCGCCAGTTCTCTGTCTGAAGAGATAACTGCAGGCAGATTTTCCCTTCCATGTGACGTTTCGTAATTGGGTCATTCAGTAGCCTGCTTGCTAGAGAGGAGTTAAGTGCTCTGTTTGATGTGAATCTTCACAGTTGATGTTGATGTGGGGGCACGGAAACAGGCTCTGTCAGAGCAGATGCACAGGGAATTATGGTCTGAAGCAGGTCAGACAAGCTGTCGACTAAGCCAACCTGAGCTGCGTTGAAATCCGTGTAGCTTAAGCTGGAAGAGAGGGAGGAATGAAAAACACGTGAAAATCACGCGGAGTGAGCCAGACACTTTTCCAAGATGAAACTCGGCCTATGGAAAACAAGCACTTGGTCCTGACATTCTCATCAAAGGTCGTTATTAAAACCTTACTGTAAGCGAAATGTTATGGTATTTTCAGTATTTTCCTGTTCTTATAAATACAGTAAGATATTCCTCTGCAATCTCTTCAGTTTATATAATGCTATTATTATCAATGCACTTTTCTAGGTTTTTATTTAGGTTTAGTTTAGGTTGCAAAACTGAGATTTTCGGGGGTTCCGTATTTTACATTTCTCTTCTCAAGAAGCCAAGCTTTCCTGTCATCAGGTGCAGGTGTTGGCTGACGTTTCACGTAAAATGTCTTCAGCTAATGCCAAGATTCCCTGTGCTGAGAATTGTAAAGTGAATGGAAGGGAGGCCAGAGTTTTCCAAGCAATGCTAGAGTTGGGTGCAACTGAGTTGCCAAAGGTGTCCTCAACTCATTCCAAAGCATATGTCAAAAGGAATGTAGGACCACAAATTGGGTCGAGAAGGTTTGTTGAGTTTTTGGTCATAATCCGTTTTGTTTAGGCCTCTTGGCTGAGGGCAACCTCCTGGCCATTGGACGATGAAGGAGGGATGAAGAAGATGAATTTGAAGGAGAAAAGGGTATTGCATATAGTATACGTAGCTTATACACAAAGTAGGCTCCACAGCCTGTGTCTTCTTTCATTGTGTTTTCTTTCTTCTCTTTTCAGCATGGAATAAACTTATTACTTGTTCCTTTACATGTAGAATGTACATTTGTAAATGTAGGAAATAATGCCAGGAATGATTCTAATTTAGGGCAGATTAGGAGAATTGAAATAGGATGTTGTCATCCCTCTTGTACTTTCATTGCAAACTCTGTTTATTATCATATTATTTCACTAAAATTTTATTAAATGCTTTTACTGTATTTGATAGAGCATTAGGCTTATGCAAAACATTACAGATTTAAATTTATATTACAAATAACTGCAGGTTCCTGACTCAATTTTCAAATACAGAACCAGTGACTGAAAACTATTCTTATTGTGTTTGTTGTGCAGGCACTGCATTACGCCTTTGCAACCATGTACTAGATGGTGGCTTTCAGTTGGCCTGAGCCTTCGTTTTCACGTTCATGTATTGGTTTCGGAATTTGTGATTATAGGTGGGTAGAAGTCTGCATTTAATCTAATCTTAGCCTAATCACGTGCATATGAATTCTTCATGGGATGAGACAGAAGAAATAATCACCAGGCCATCAATAATCCACATGAGTTTAAGGCTTGTCTTTGATATTGCTTACTAAAAAAACATTTCCCAACTGACATGCATTGTACACTGTGGTAAGATTTAATTGATTTAATTACAATGTGGAGAGATGTTATATACAAGGAACAGCTAACAGTGTCCTTTTCCCTTTTTCAGTGTGTTTTCTGTAGGAGTCAAATGGAGTTGAGTCCATTGCTCACTGAGGATTTGGAGAAGGACAGAAGCAATGTACTGTATCTCTGTGTTTCGGTTATTGACTGCAGGCTTGAACAATGCAACCTCAATGTTCCCATAGCGACTGTAATATAAAACTGCTCTCAGGTGATTTTTTCCACTTTGTTGCCATTTAAGACACACGTATGTCATCAAGTTAATTTTATGTTATAATAGGAGACATGCATCTACATGTCTTTTTTAAATAGATCTTCTGTACTGTAGTATGTAATTGTCAGTAGTTCAGTCAACTCGACCAAACCAGACAAGAAATATAAAGGGATAATGCACTTAATATTTTGGCATAAATTCACCTAACTGAGGAAATGGCAGTCCCAGCTGAAGACAGTCAGAGCAGTCACAACCCCCAGAAGGAACTATTGGACCAATATTGTGATAGTTCGAATATAGAACTATTGGAATTGGAACGAGTTGGTTCAGCAGCCAATCTTCGCAGGAATGTGAGAATGGAGAAACGAGGAGGTGGACTACAGCATGGTGTGAATGAGAAGACCGCATGATGCAGGCTAGAGTGTTGTTTGATCAAGTAGATTCAATAACACAAGTCAGCAAACAGGTGGCAGTACAACCACCCTAGCCCACTTGAGACTGGAAGTCAAATGGCTGCATAATTGGAGTTCCAGGGATGGTGAATGACATCAGGGGGAAAGCATGGCAGGAGGAGAGGGCTGGTAGATGAAGATGATGACTTCCACAAAACCTTGACTCATTGGGGATTTGGATGTAGTGTTGGCAAGTCCATCTCAGGTTGTGCTGCAGCATACTCATATCACAGAGGAGTTGTTTGCTAAACAGGTGCTGCATACTGGTGCCTTTCTGTGATTTTCACCAGTCATCTTGAAGAAACATGACAGGAAAAATCACATGATCACCTGTGGCCAATTAACTCTTTCATAAGTGAGGTAATTTAGTCAGTAACGGAAGTGTATTACACTCAGTGGTGAATGAAAAGTATGCCAAAAAAACATTGAATCCATTTCCGAAATCTGTAGACTTTGTTTTTCTAAATCTATATCCCAAAACTGTGTGCTTTGGTTTTTCAAAAAAGACATATAAATAAACCAATTTTTAATGAGATTTGTAGAACAGACCAAAAGGGCATGTATACTGACTGGGATTTTATAAAAAAAACACACCAGGTGAAATTTTTTAATCATTTACTAGCAATCAGACTGTACAGTATTGATGAGCACAGGTTCTTCCACATTTTTCTAGTCATGTATTCTTTGTTTCCAGTTAGGTTTCCATTGGTGGTGATGGAGGGGAGTCCCCATTACCTATAAAGCGCTTTGAGTGGAGTGTCCAGAAAAGCGCTATATAAGTGTAAGCAATTATTATTATTATTTATTATTAATTAATTCGGAGTTCAGAATCTTTTATTTTCTGTTTTCTTTTATGTTTGTAATGCCTTTCATGATATCTCTGAATTTGGTACAACGAAGGAATGTTATTGGTAGCTTTTATCTGCCCCAGTTAATAAATATGAAGGAAGAAAGCAGTCCTGCAGTTCAGGAGGGACTCATGTGTTCCACTGGAACACATTGCAGTGCAGATAGTGCTTTGATTTCCAAAGTGTAATACAATTTGGCACAATCTTTTGAATGTCACTCAGATAAATGTAGTATGGAATAAGATAGATATTCTGAGTATTGAGGACTGTGGCTATTTACAGTACAGCACTTCACAGTAACAACTAAATTATACTGGCTTATTGGTCCTTCCAAATTCCTGGATACATACAACTTAGAGAGGGAATATAATACTGTTACTACTATAAGAAAACTTTTCTGAAAGGGAACAAGTTTGTTTTAACCAAATTAGATTCATAGATGGCCCCCTGTGGAGTTGCTCAGTAATAAAGACATTCTAGGACAGTTGATGTTTTGAGATTGCGATTCACAAAGTGGATGTGATGATGCAGTCTGGGTTAAATGTTATAACAACAGGGGAATCGGCACTGTAAAATCGAGACACAATGGGAGCCCTTTTATTTTTCCAGGGTGCCTTCTTGACTTCTTTTCTTACATACTACATGCATATGTTAAATGAAAATGAATAAACCTTAATACAATATTCGAAATATGTAAAGTAAAATTGTTCTATTTCTGTTCTCAGCATGTTGAAAAGAAAGAGAAGAGGAGTAAAGAACATGAAATACGTGGTCTGGACAAACAACTTTATTTCTGGTAATGCATCTATACACTGTACATTCAGTCACTGTGGTATATAAGCATAGCTATTTTCAAACATAATCTCATAAAGTCCTTTATTTTACAATATAGTCCGTGTCGTGACAGAGGGAGGAGGGACAAGGGGAGGGAAGTGGAAAAGGCGCAAAAAAAAAAGACAAGGTCAAAGGGCAAAATAGATAAATAAGCCAAGCTTTTTTTTTTCATATATGCGGCATTAATAAACAAGAAAGCATACATTTATCTCTTACATAAAAATAGTTCTAGAACTGTAAAGTTTATATACTATTAGCAGCAGCATAGGGCTAAAAAGATATATGAGGATGAAAAATTATCTGCTGTGTGGTGGTATTTTTTTAAAACTGTCGTGTGACCACTGTTGAGCAAAAGTACGTTTTTCAGCAATTTGTTAAAATGATAAAAAAAAATATGTATAAATGGACTGGTGAATAAAAACAATAAAAAAGGTTCTACAGTGGAATAAAAGCCAAATAATGGGGGAAAGCTATGTTTATGTAGGGAATATTCACTAACGCACTGCAATAATTGTTTCGAAACTTGTTATCTATGTTAAAACACAACTCATAAAACAAGACAGCTATTGTGTAAGAAAAGAGTTCTTTTTTGAAAAAGTAAACACCATATACAGTTATAATACACTTGTGTAAAATGAAAAAATATTTACATGTGTAAATTTATTTTTTTTTCTTTACACTGGCTAGCTTGGTGAAATGTCAGGTAGCAGATATAGCTGTTCTTACTGTAACCTGTTATTGCTGTTTTATTGTCTTCCATTTAGAAAAACGTTTTTTGTGTGTTTAGAAAATAATCATGTAATTGATAACAGAACAAAATATTTTTTTGAAAAGGGGAGAGTAAAGAGCCTATTAACACCTCTTCTCCCTTTCTTCCTCTAAAAAAATGTAAAGGAAACTAAATGTAAGGTTTTCTTTTAGTGTAAATGAACATCTAAAAATACAGCTTGGGTTCTTCTGTGCAACTACAAGGATACAGAAAATTATTTGCACATTATTTGAGACTTTAAATAGCACTGCCTTTGAAAATGGAGAGTCCACATTGAGGTTTGATCTTAATGCCCTCTCACGATGTTTCTTAGCCTGAGATTACATTTGGTACAGAATATTAGTCTGGTAAAAAAACATCAATTCAAATTACCTGGGCTTCCATATTTCTACACATCTAGCAGTATAGTTCGATATTAATATATTTAAGCCCCTGGAGTGAATAAAATGTACCTGTCATTTTTATCGATCACAATTCATTTTGCTACACATACAGTATAATTGCATCAATCCATTTTCAATATCTGAAACTTTTTTCAGAGATCTTTTGGCTGTACCATAATGTTTTTTTTCTTTCACAAGAACTGTTAATGGAAGTTATACCAGAAGGTAAAGCAACCAATAACTAGTAACAAAGGGGAAAAAAAAAACTTTGGACAGCCTAGGAGGGAAAAAAAGGTGGTTTTGTCAAAATCTGTTTTGTTGTTAAGTTGCACAGAGGAGCCCAGTAAATACCGAGATAGAGACAGCCAGTAGAAGATGCCACTTGATCTACAAAACCATTTACATGGGAAAGTAGGCGTCACTCAGACAATCCTAGTACATCTGAGGCATCTTAGAGGCTAGAAACGCAAAAAACCCCAAACAAATTAAAGGAAAACAGAAACATCTGACAACTTCATTTTCCCTACTCTGGAAACCTTATGCCAAATTCCAGGCACTTGAGGTTGTCCAGCATTGTATTTGAACATTAAGCTATTATATATATGCATATATATAAAAAATAATAAAATATGTATTTTTTGTCTGAAACGTAACATTAATGAGGTTTAGTTTCCTTTAAAAAAATGAAAATTGTTTGAAATACAGATTTTTTTAAAAAGACAAATTTGCTTTATATTGCATAACACAATAAAACCCTTTACATATACAGTATTAATGCCCAATAATGAATATACGTATGGCAGAGTTTTCGTAAATTTCATGCATGTGAAAAAATATATATACAGAAGAGTTTGCTACTAAAAACAAACATACAGACAAGCAAGAAAAATGTCCCCACAAGAAAAAAAAAACAGTAAAAACACAACAAACATTCTGACTGTGTTGTACCCGCAGTGGATCTGGAGCATTTGGAAATACATATAAATAACCAATCAGACTTTTACAACCAAATCTGTAGGTCATGTGTTCTGTCACATTTAATGTTTATTTAATGCTTTTCCCTTCCTGTTTCTTACTGTGCTGCAGTAATGCATTTCATTGTGTAAAATAAACTTACTTCTTGGAAATAGTAGAATTTTAGGAAAGACAGGTACCCAGTATTGAACATCTATTGTCCTGGGTTTTCAGGCTTTGCACCTTTTATAGCTAAGAAAATGCTGCAATAAAATGAACCATTTCTTTTGCAAATATTCCAAAATGTGATTTTAAATGATAAAAAAAAAAATCAAACACAAAAAGCTTCAATTACAAAACCAAATCTTCAACTGATTTCCAGAAGCAGCCCACAAGTTTATGTGCAGACAACTGTCTAAGCAAGCAAACATATAGACACCTTTTTTTGTGTTTTTATTTACAATATTTAGCCTTTAACATGTAATTACACGGCATTTAAATGAGACATACTGATGAAGAAAAGCTTTTTTCATTTTTTGTTTTTCTAAAAAGCACATTTTTTTCTTGAAAAGAAAGGCAAAGGACAAGAGTGGGAGTAAAATGCAGTATACAGTATTTTGGACAAAGTGCGATTCATTACTGTAAAGTTTTAAGAAATTATACATAATATCAGAATTAAAAACATCATTTGCGTGGTTCTTAATAAAGGCTTGGCTTCCAGCCCCACAATTATTGTATTTAAAAATGGCCTTTTAACTTTGAACAGCAGCAAGGTATGTAAAGATTTTAGTATTCAAAAGAAAAACATTAAATGTAGTCATGCGTATTCTAGCACTGATTTCTTTTCAACAGAAATAAATTGATAAATACTGTATACAAAAAAGCATTTGTAAAGAAGGTACACTGACAAATTTCAGAATGAGTCCTATATGTTTTTGCTTCTTACACACAAACACACACAGGTGAAAATCTGTGTGGGTGTGTATTTATGAGAGTAAATTCTGCATGTAATCTTTTGGACATCCTGCAGACCATATCCCACTGAAGTGCTCATTTGTTTAAAGGGGGCCCTGAACACGATAACTGATTTTTTCCCCAAAATAAGAATGCTAGGCCATTTCTAAAACTCTTCAGAAAGTAAAGCCAGACAGCTGCAGTTCTCCCTTCTGTTTCTGGTGTAAACCTCATGTTTGTATATTTTTTTAATAACAAGAAAAAAATCCTTTTATCCAATGTCAATGTTGGATTCTTCTCTTCGAACCAAGAGTTGGAAAATGGTGGCATTGCTGGGAGTTTGCCTTGCTTGTCAAGTGTTTTTTTTTTTGAGGCTCTGTCAACACAAACGAACAACGAAAAAATGTCTTTTCTATATATATATAAACTCAAGTCTCCGATGCAGTCTCTTAAATAGCTTATTACAAAATTAAATCCTCAAAATGTTCAGAAAAAAACAAACAAACAACGACGAAGAAAAGAACCAGCACTGAAGGCCCTCTTAAAAAGTCTCAGCCATGTTGTCTTGTGCCTGTGACTCCTGTTTTACTGCTTCACTTCTTACACTGTGCTCCACGGGGGGCGTTTGAATTTCTTTTCATGTTATTATTGTAATTAGTTATTCATAGAAAAGTCTGTATCCAAAATTTTTTTTTTTTCAGTGAAAATAGGCACAACAAACTTCTTGTGCTATATATAACATTTTCGTGCCATGGATTTAACTTTGTCATTTTTAATTAGAGGCGCGTCTCAGTGCTTATGTTAGTAACATGTTTCCTCCTGGTACTGTACATGTACAAGTCTCAATATTACTTTTCTGTGTGCGGTGATGCACACGTGCGTATGCACATTTTGAATATATGTTTATGCTTTGAATATCATATTAAACTGCGTTTTCTTGTCTGTCTTCCGGTTTTAGTTTTCCAAGTCCTTTGCTGCCGTCTCCTTGCTCCCCACTTTGGGCCACAGTTGTTCCTGCAGCTCCTTGACCACTTTCTCCAAATGCTCCCTGGCCTCGCGCTCGTGGAGGAGGTCCGCTCTCAGCTGCTCTCTGTCCGCCTCCGCGTGCTGGAGCTTCATCTGCAGGTCTTCAATCTGAAGGGAGAACAGGGGGTTTCAATCTCACGCTGCAGGTGATGCTAAAATGGTGCTGGCTCTCTCTTGTGCCCGTCGTGCCATTAGAGATAAAGTATGTGCACAAACACACCCTCACCCACCCCCTACCTCCATGATCTTTGAAGTCCCCTTTGTGAAAGTTACATTGCTGGTGTAAAAACCCACTCACCCCATCAGCTGCTGTCTTAGTGGCCCAAATGCACTAAACTTTAACTCGACTGCACACTGCCATCAGCTAAAGGGAAATATCCTACTGTGCGGTATCCACAAAAAAAAATAAGACCAGCATGCTCACAGAGCCTGAGTCCTTTTTTTGAGAGTCTATTTTCCAATTCAAGAAAATGGTCTAAGGCTTAGTAAACACTGGTTTTGAGGCCCAATTAATCCAAATATTACGACATTCATTTCCCCAATTCAATTCAACTTCAGTTTTCAGAAAGGGGAACTCTCAGAGCTGTCCCAAACGAGGTTTAAAAGTTGGCGTTTTCTTCGCTTTCATGTACAGGAACAAAAAAGGTTTAACTTTTATTACTGCCACCTGCGCTGTGACCTTTGGGACTGCCAAATCTTTTTTGAACAGCAAGTTCAGGGATTGGGGCTAGACAGGCGCTCGGCTCGGGGCGAGCGCCTGTGTTGTAATGCGCGGGAGCCCTGTGCGTGTGTAAATATTCTGTTCTTGGGCAGGGTTTAGGAGCGCTCTGTCGCAGGTGAGAGTGAGTGGCTCTCCGCCGCCGCAGACGTGAGTGCTCCTTCGCAACCTAGTGCCGCCTTTGCTGAGTCAGTCTCCCGCTGGGAGCTGAAATGGGCTTTCACTGAAAGTGCTTCTCTGTGAAAGGGCCCTCCAGCAGCCTGTGCGCAAGGGTTGTTGTGATGACAGGCGGCGCGCGGGAATGATACCGAGGCTGCTGGCAGGAGGAGTGTGCCAGATCCTCCGCAGACGGGTGAGAATGAGAGGGTGGAAGGACACAGCAAACATGAGGGGCGGGGGGGAGGTGGGGGTGAGAGCGAGAGAATGAGAGGAGACAGACTACTTGCGCTCATCCAACTCAGGCAGTATCACTATGAATGGCAGGGTGTGTGTTCACAGTCCTGCTGTGTTACAAATGACTTTGTTCAGAATGACAGTTGAGGTCCATCTCAATAGTGATGTACTTATATGGAATTTTCTAGCACAGACCCTATCAGACAGTTCACATATTATAAATATACCCTTCATAAACATGATTTCATTACTTAAATGTAGCAGATATGTAACTATAAAAAAACGACTCGAATGCTAAGGGCTTATAGTGAACATTTGATGATTAATACTGTGTTTAGTTAGTGTAGATGCTATAAAAATATTGTAAAATATTGGACAACGACTGGGTATTTTTTTTTAACCAAATTCATTTTAAAGCAAACTTTTAAAGCAAATTCATCTAGAAACACAGGGACTGCGATCGCTCAAGAATATGTGAGATTGATTTCTTAAATTATCCTTAATTTTCTCTCTCATAGTTTGAGCATAATGATTTTATTGCATTTATATAAGAATTGCTCATTGCTCCAAAATAAATAAAGAATATGTGAGTGTGACTTGCTTGTACTTGGAAGATGTAGCTGAAACACTTGTCTCACTCGCCTTTCCGTCTGTCTGCCACCTGTCTGGGAGACCAAGTTAGCGACACACCCAGCGTGCGGTTCCCTCTTGGCTCTTGTTTTGTCTCGTCTGCTCTTATCAGTAAGGCTTCCCATGATGCATACAAGGAAGTCAACTTCACTTCCTGTTTCCTCTTTAGGTTGCTGTTATCGCACATCAGTGTTCTAAAGGCGACACCCTTTACTTCTTTCCAAAATTGAAGGGAAAAAAAGCAACTGGCTAAGAAATGAAAGATTCTTGAAATGTGTTATTTTGGGGGAAAAAAAGGTAGCACATTCTCCTTTGAGAACAAAATGAGAAGAGCAAATCCATCGATTCCTTCATCCATTTTTAAAACAGCACTTAAGTAAAGGGTCAGCTCTGTTGCAACACTTGGAAGCCTTGGTGTATTTTATAGAACACTCTACATCTGTTTCCTTTTCATGTTTACAAAATCCAAGTTAACATGGCAAAGAACAATCGGATATGGAAAGTCTCCTTTTGTAAAATTTTAAATGTTTATTTGTAAAAAAAAATATTTCTCCTGGGGGCACAATTTGCTGTAAAGGCCTTGAGGTTTCAAGCCTGGACACCTGCCGTTTGGAAATACTGCGAGTGTGTGTGCGTGTGCAGTTAGAAGCACCTTTCACACCAATCTCACAGTGCACCAGCAGAGCAGGGGCCTTGCCAGCGGTCACTGTCTCCGTTTGTAAGTGTAGTTCTCACCTGTGCTGAGTATTTTGCCCGCAGTCTTCCGGCCTCACAGCCCTTGTCGCACACCCTCAGCTGCCTGGCCTGCTCCAGCTCCCTCTTCAGACGTATCCGTGACTCATTCGCCTCCTTCATTTTCTTCTCGTTCTCCGCGCGCAGTCGCTCGATCTCTTTCCTCAGGTTGCGCTTCGCCTCGGTGGCCTCTCTCAGCTTCTCCTTCTTGGCCACCCTCAGAAACTCCAGCTCCTGCAGGGGGAGGGCAGAGCGAGAATGAAGTCACCTCGTATCTGCGGTTGTTTTGTTTTGCAGAGAGAGGTGCTTTGAAATAGTCACCAAAGGTGTCAAAACACACGTCCAGTTTCGAGATATGCCCAATTTGAAAAAGATACATTTATGGTTGTGTTGAGATGAATTGATGTGTAGAACAGTTAAGGTGTCAACGTTTCTTTACAGTAATACCCCAGCTGGTATTCTCATTTCAAGGTTGCTCACAGAAAGAAATTCAATAGAAATTTGTGGCTATTCCTTTTACTCTTATATATATCCTATGGTTTAACAGTAAACACCAAAGAGTTAAAAATCTTCTAGAAATTGACACCGAGACCAGAAGTTGGGCTTCCTTCCCTCCTGAAACCAACCAGCTAACAGCTTGTTTCTTTGTGGTAACACCCTTGGCCTGCTCATGGGAAATCCTTTAACAGGACAAGACCTTCTGTTGACTACCACAGTTTCACAGCACCGTCTTCAACTGAACAATAAGGCACTTGGCCTTTTTTTTTTCTGGCAGGCGTGTCATCTTGTGGGTGAACACTAGTTTGAAGTGTTCTTCTTTTTAGCTTACAGAGGCAGCCAGCTGCCCAAAGCTAACTGTAACCTTTCACCTCTTCCCCAGCCACAGCTTTTCACTGTATTGTACTCTTTCAAATTAACTGGAACTCTAACAGGTAATAGCCACCAATCCCTTGCACATCCTTAATATGTATTGGGGTGCATTTTAAATACCCTGGTGCTTGCAAGTTCTAAGTCACATAGCAGATCAGCTAATTAAAAAAAAGCTTTAACCTGGTGCTGAAAAGTAACCCATAATCACGCACCTGGTGTCTATATTGCAAGAACTGTAAACAAGTGTTATAATCAAACAGAGCACAGGCCTGCTTTAGGCCTCCATTGGAAATATACTGTGTGTAAACACACGCAACAGATGTGGGCCTGACCTGCTGGAGACTGCGCTTGGCCTGCAGAGCAGAGCCCAGTTTCTCCTCCTGCTTCACCCTCATCTTCACTATCTCGTGCAGGAACTTTTCCTTGGCCTCCTTGGAATCCAGGCCGCTGTCCAGGGCCTGCCTCAGCGACTCCAGCTCCGACTCCAGGCCCGAGCAGTGGGCCTCGCTCAGCGGGCCTTGGCCCTCAAAGGCCAGCACCACCGAGGCCGGCGCCTGCATCCCCGGGGAGCTCAGATCCTTGGCTGAACTCGAAGAGGTGAAGGAAGGGGACGAGAGGGAGGACAGGGAGGAGGTGACTGCCGAAGGCAGAGAGGAAAAAAAGAAACAAAGTTATGGCAAAGTCCTGGGGTGAAAAATTGAGGAAATACATTATATATGTATGCTGTGTTGACTCTAAGGATGTAACAAAACTACTTGTAACTGGAATAGCGTTCTTTCATTGTTGGTAAAGATTTTATGCTTCTGTGATTTTAACTCTAGATGAACTCCCAAAGAAAAGATTGTATCTCTCATCAGCCATGAATGAAATGTGTGTGTCTCCTGCCAATACATTTTACAGTCCCGGTACTTTCTGACAGACATTCTACTCGAATGTTCGAAGGAAAAATGGCCTACCATTAAGTTTTCTTAAACATCTGCTGGCCAAGGCATGTTTGAGTCAAACAAAGTGGTGCAGGAATGAATCATGACAGAACTGAGGCTAAAACTACCCAGTTGTGATCAGTGTGGCCTAGACTGAAAACTCCAGTCTGGGTTGAGAGCAGGGATGTCTAGAGGACCTGAAGGGCACTTACATTCCTCACGGCTCTCCACCTCGATTTCACCCTCGGAGTCTTTGTCTTCCTGAGGGGCAGTGCTCGCTGGGGCAGGGGGGCAGGGCAGCTCCGCTGCCTGGTGGCTCTCATCAGTCAGCCTTCTCTTCCGTGGTCTGGAGTTGCCGTTGTCACTGGGGGCATCGCTGCCATTGGCATGGGAGACATTAGGTGTGGACGGGGAATGCTGCCCTACTTTCTGATGAGGCAGAGGGGTCAGGGCCACATTTGGTGCCACTGAGCTCTCTATACTTTTGTAATTGTAAAAGCTGTGTAAGAAAAAGAGACATTTCAGTGTTAGAGGATGGGAAAACAAACGAGGTGCCATTAATCTTCTACCGAGCAGAGGTCTGAAAACAGGTATGTGGTTTCTTTAAAGACATAAGAGAATGTCATTTTCTATGTATAACTGATAAGAAATTGTTAAACCACACTATATGAAAAAAAAGTTCACCCCACAACACAGTGCTGACTAGCACATTTACATCATTTTATACCATGGCCCAAATATATATGTGCAATACAGTCAGCTGTTAGAATGTCTGAATTTCTCAACATCTCAAAGATCTGCTTCTTAGAACCTAGGAGAGTCTGTCAGTGAAAGCTAAATAAAAAACAAGCAAAGATGCCAAAAAGCTGTTATCTCATAAAATGTATTTTCCCCCTTGTACATCTATTTTTCTGGCAAACACTAGAGAAACTTAAAATAGAATTCTGTCTAAAAAGAGATTTATTTTTTCCGAAAAAAAGTTTCAATTTATCTTCTCAGTGACCTTCCAAGAGACAGCCATATGTTAGCCTCTCCCGGTAAACAACTTTCTTAAGCATGCAAATATTAGACTCTCTTTCACTTTTTAATTGATCTTCAGTTAGTTGCAAGGGTCTATTACTTTTTTAAAGAGAGATGGGAGTATTCTCTATTCATCACAAGAAAAGGTTTGTAAATAGACTGACAATTGCTTGTGATCTGGGGACAAATCAAACATGACTTGCGTAAGGTAAAGTAACAAGTGTTGGTCCAAAGGAATGTTGCATTGTGGTTGTGTCTGGCATGAGAAAGGTTGGACCTAGGCTGACTTTTGACTCCCTCTGATGTTCCAGACCTCAGGATTCTGCACTCTCTTCTCAGGTTCTGTTCCCAGTTAGGGAAAACCTTTCTGTTCTTACTAAAATGCTGTGGGAGTCTGGGACACGACTGCCCAGCCATGCGGTTAAAGCTACAGTATATGAACTGAATGGCCTCATCCTTCCTTATGTTCTTAAAGGACACTTCAACAAATGAGCCCAACAAGTTCATTTTTTTGGAATACAAGAGCTAATGGATGAGTAACACAGTGTAGGAAGATTATTCAAACAGTGCCTCAGGTCTACAGTATTGACTATCTGGCTTTCCTAGACCCAGACGTATGTGTGGGTTCACTTCACACTAAATCCTGAAAGTCGGCTCCTTGCTGGGTTGACAGAGTTCACCTACCGCCTTTGCATGCTGAAGCTATAGACATCAGTCTCTCTAACACTGCTGGCTTGGAGATCGGCTTGGAAGCTGCCTACACTATACTCCATGGGAATGAATACAGATATGAAGGTGTGTGTTTCAAACCTATTTCAATGAACTTGCTAGAAAAATAAGCACAGAAAACAATTTTTTGTGAAATTTTATTTCTTGTGATATGAAGGCTAAAACGGATGATAATATTTATATTTTCACCCGATGGTCGACTTATGGACTGGAGTTTATGGACATTGCTCTGAACGTGTCCTACCATTTACCCCTTTTGTAAACCTACATTTTGCTTTCCATCTTCTTTATAGCGTTTGCCTACAGCATGTCTGCTCTCCCTCACCTGTCACGGAGCACAGCTGGAAGGTGTGCAGAGGTTTCCTTCTCGCTGGAGGAAATGGTTGGGGACCAAGGCCGGAAGGCAGACGGGCGCTGCCTGGGGTGGATACAGCTGAGACTCTGATGTAGAGAAAAGAGAGCAGAGACGTTGGCACTCTCTCTACTTTGTGCTAAGGACGCCATTTTAAAATTTAACAAATCAAAACGATTATTTAAGATTCACATTGACCTCCTTTCTGAAACTTGTTTCACATTGGTGCTTCAGTGGGCTAGCCTTAACATACAGATTTCCTGCTCATCAAGTCATATTTTCTTATTCGTATTGCAAGAACATCCTATTTTTCCCCCAAAGGAATGCATCTTACCAGTAAACCAGGAGTTAAAATGTTGTCTTAAAAACAGAATATTGCACCAAAGATGTGAAGCCCTACATTAGAAAAGGATGCCAAATTCTGACCAAGGTGTCATTTGAGAGCTACTGCCATTGAATATTAGAAACTCAAAAAATACTGTTCATTCCACTGATCCAAAATTAGCTGTGGCGATCTTCAATTTGATGCAGAGAGTACGTCATGACATGAGTTGGCTAAGGAGAGCGAGAAAACACAACTAGGTCTTTTGTTTGAATGCTTTACCTTATTTGCAGAAGAGGAGAGAGACCGTAGCCAGTCAGGGTGCTTTTCCTTATCAGTTGAAGGTGACTGAGAGGTGGGATCTTCATGCTTGGATTTCTTGGCTGGAATCGCATCACAAGACTGAAAGAAAAAAAAAAGATCTGTATGTTGGCAAAGGAAAAAACATGTATAGATTAAAAAGTGACAATTATGTTGCTAATTGAAAAATTGATTAAATAAAATGTTAAGTTAAATATACTTTGGAATATAAATGGTTTCTAATTAAAATGGCAAAAGTACCAAGCTTGTTTCCCATATCTGCATCTGAAGACAAGCCTTAATCAATGCAAAGTCTTACAGCTCAGCTTCCTGGCAGTGCTGCCAGTCTCAAAATGTCACTGAATTAAATATGAACCCATAACTGTCTGACGCCCCCTTTCAATTATCTATGTAAAATAGCTGAGTATAAATAGGAAGCAAATCTAAGATAACTGCTGAGACAGGTATATGGAAGACATCCAATTACTAAATTTGTCAGCGCTAACCTCAAAATGAAGTTAGTGGAGGTGGAGAGGGACAAATAGGGGACATATCTTCCTCTATTGTCCCAGCAGTGATATGGAAGCCTGCCAACCGACACTCCCATTTATACTCCAGACACGCAGCCTGAAGTCTTCAGCATTTCCCACACCTACTCCAGCTCTGACACTTCCAGTTAATAGGTCAGCTGTAGTGCTTTAGACTTGCCTGACTGTCATTTCTGAAAAGACTCTGCTTAAATCTGCTGAGAACAAACCAAATGGCTTGTGTCAGAGACTTTGCCAGCAGCAAGAAAGACACGAGTCTGGTGTGCTAAGGAACCAGGCAATGAGAGGAGGCACGTGTGAATTGGGGGACAAAGAATCAAACCAGTGCCCCAGTAAGAGGTACATCAAGCTGGAAACAAGACTGCACTTTGAAACGAAAGATTCAGGCCCACCAAAAACCATTTCAAAAACCGGCACTTTCAACACTCCTGTTTAAACAAAGGGACATGGCTCTGGGGCGATGTACAAGCCTGCTTTTCTCATGCAGCAGTCAACAATTTCCTACTGCAGCACAATTTGGCTGCGCTGCTGATTGCTGATAAAACAGGGCCTTGCAGCTTACAGTACATCAATGCATACACGGCTGTGTTAGACACTGCTGTAAAATGCAACACATTTCAACTGCTTCTCAAAAGAGAAGAAAAACAAGCGATGATAAAACTGACATGATTTCTTCTGTGGGTCCACACTGGCAGGACCTTTCTATAAGACAAGAGGGGATTTGTTGTACATTGTTTATCGCTGCTAGTATTTGGATGACTTCAGTATCTGCAGCTGTGTCTGTCGACAGACACGGGATTCAGTCTTCTTTTTCTCTTTTTTTGGCCTCGAAATGCTCGTCAGACATTTAAAGAGATATAAACCTTCTATTTTTTTTTAGAAGTTCAACTAGACTTATTTTTTTAGAAATTGTTCATTTTGCCCTTTAAAAATAAACCCATTTCAGAGCAAATCACTTGCTGGATGCTGTAGGAATGTAACTATATCTTGAAAAAAGTTTGCACTTAAGTGCAGAGGCAATAGTTATTAGAAGAGCTATTAAATGTTATTCTGTCCTATTGCAAGAAAGTCCTACTTTAATAGATAGCAGAAATATATACAATATATCAGTACATGACTATGATTAGACTAGTTTGCAATGGTACTAGGATTGAGGCCTATGGAGCTGATCTCTCTAAGGACTTGAACTGAATTGTGACTATAGAACATAACACATTTAGACACACCCCTTGTCTGCTATTTTAGTGAAGGGTTCCCCTTCGGAATTCCAAATACTAGAGCAGGAATGTGACTCAAATAGTATGGCAAATGTTCCTGTTTTAATATTCCTTTTCTCATGCACTAAAATATATCAACAGCATGTCAGTGAACGTGACTGGAGGTGCTGTGTTATTTTGACAGATGCCAGTGTCTGGATTTCATGCGACTTTGGGAGACCAGACTGGGTATAACACAGTTAACTCAATCCCCAGTCTCTGGCACAGGGCTGGTGACTGCAGCAGGATGGTATTTGGCAAGTTCCTGCTGACATCCCCAGTCTGTCCACTCTTGGGGCAGAGGGAATAAGAGTGTGTGTGTGTGTGTGTTCTGAGGGGGGAGGATTTGGAATCAAGCAGAAGAGCTGCAACAGGTGGTAACATGCTCTGAGGGAAAACCAGCTCTCTCCCCCTGCCCCCCTTCCCCACTCTGAACCATTACCTCGTCTGCAAGCAGTGCATTTTGTTTAGGCAGGGAGCACAGACGACCATTTTGGGACCTAAATCACATGCTACTATAATAGGACTTGTACTCTGCAGGGCAAAGTGTAAAGACAAACACTACCGGCCTAGAAAGGAGATTTAGCACACCATTACAGCATTGACACATTTAAAGAGATATCGATTTCATTTAATCGTTCACAGAAAGAACACAGAATGAATTCTGCAGCAATAGTTTATAGTCCCGTATCTTTAGGAGTCTGGCCACTAAAAGTAAAGAGCTAGTCTTGAGTCTGTCAGTACAGAACATCACAATCGGTTGCTGTTCGTTGTCAGCAGGAACAGATTAGATAGTGAGCTTATACCAGGGGCACAAGGTTATAGCTTTCAATCTGGCAAATCCTGCACTAATCGTGGATCGAGGGCCCATGGGTTAAAACACCCCAGCAGCAATTGAATGATTTTAAGGGGTGATCATGCCTGCCCTTTCTTGTCGGTTGCATGACAGATCTGATTTACATGGTTGTTAAAACAGCGGGATTTCAAGTGAACACCATCCTTACCTTGAACATGGTTATTACAATTTAACCCCATGCTGGTCTATTCTTTCCACTATGTTCCCAGAAACTGAAAACAAAGGCAAGAGCTACTACCTTAACAGCTCCTCGAAGATGAAGCCTGACCAATGCAATACTCTTAGGAAAGAGCAATGTAGTTCATGTGTAAGCAGCAGGGTAGACTAGAAGGGAAGGTTATTTTCCAATGAAAGCCCACGCAACAAGGTGTGCAAATGATTACAAGGCCACGGCTCATTGGTTGAGTTAGCACCGCATGCATGCTTCAATATGGGACATGCTGATGAGCAAAGTGTGCAATATGTGCAAAAGAGGCCAAACCCTGGACAAGCGCCAGGCAGACTCCATGGGGCCACTGGGAATGGCGCAAGAGGGGGAAGTAACATTTTTGGCTTGAATTTAAGTTAATGGAAGCAACTCATGGTGACAGTTAAGGTGAATCATTGAACAAATTTTAGAATCCCCAGTACTGCTGTACAGTAAGTGGTGAATCATAGATAGTTGTGTGTCTGTTGTCTGGGAGTTTTAAAAAAGGATACAGAGGAGTCAGTTCTGAGACTGTGGGAGGTACTAACCAAGCCTAAGGAGTAGGGACTGAAAGGTCAAAGGTCTTTGGCAGAATCACTAAAGATTCATGAAACCTTAATCATGTGCTTCACAGTGCTGTAATAAAGGCTCTGCCTATTACGACAAAATCCGGAAATTGCTGCAGAACACTTCAAAGAATTAACTCCCACGTTCCAGCCTCATAAGCACCCTGTGCTTTTTGTGCCACAGATAAGACGTTACGCCCTAAGATAAGCTTTTCTTTAACTTAGAGGTGTGTGAGAGATATGTTTCGACTTGTAAAAGCCCACATAATTCCTCAAGATGTACAATTTGGAACTGCATGCTATCCAACAAAATCTCTGTTAGAAAAAAGGTCTTGCATGCAAAGAATTTCTCATGCTCGCTTGTGGTAGTGAAGCGGAGAGGGCAGATGTGTTAGGGGGTGGCAGTAGCAGGTCATGGTGGTTTGGTCTGGGTGGGCGGCACATTGCATTCAGCAAGTCATGTCTGATCTGGACCGGGTGGGTACTCAGTTTGAAACCAGCAACTGAGTTCACTTCTTCCTTTTTCAAATTCGCTGAGCAATGCAAGACGAGTGTGCAGAAAGCGGAGGGGTGAGAGGTCATTTATGGCCATCCTGCCTGGTGATTTACACTGTGAGAGACACAAGTTACCCTTGAGATTATATCAGTGACCCAAGTGGGGGGGAAAAAAGAAACTTCTTGCGTCACACGATTCACTTCTGCATTCTACAAGAAACCAGATGAAAGTCTGTTAAAGTCCAGGGAACAAAAAATAAAATAAGGAAAATAATCGAGGCCTGTGATCCCTTAGGGAAAGTGGTCAGTTCTGTACCCAGAAAGGAGAAAAGGAGGACTTGGAAAGTACTGTTGTTTTCCTGAACGCCAGTTAATTTCTGTAGGTCTGAGGAGAACTGACAAGCACAGGGCAGGTGCACTGACCCAGAAAAAGCAATCACTGCCTTGTTTCTTGCTTGCGGTTGGCAGACAATTGATGCTTGAAGGCCCAGTTGGCCACCCCTGACATTGTCTCTCTTCTCCCTCATCCTGTCTTTCTCTTCCTTTTTCTGCCTTCCCGTTTTGCTGTGGTCACTGGGGTCTGTTACTATTGTCTTTACAACTGAAGGCTGTACTCCCCATTAAGATGGCAGAGTGGCAGACTCTACTTCCTTTGACTTCGATCACAGGATGTCCTTTGCTAAACAAATGCTATTCCACTGCAAAAAAAAGGAAAATGAAATAGTGATGGTGGCTCTCTAGCCATAGCTTTAAAGGTGCATGCCTAAACACAGGTTGAACTCTATGATTCAGGCATTGTGGGTTTATGTCCTTAGCCACGTTATCTGGGTCAGGTCACTAGCCAACTGTGACCAGGATTCTCCAAATGTGGAGCACAAGGGGCTCAGAGTCGCTGAAAGTACAAAGGAATTAGCTGAACAGGACTTTCTCAGCTCTAGCCAGTACAGTGACCCTTGTGACTTCCCAGGTGCTTCCTGACAATGCTGTCAGTGAGGGACACACCTCTCCTCCAATCACCACTGAACCTCTGGTTTGGGGATGTGAAGCCTGATATGTTAAAAGATGAGTGGCTTAAAGGTAGGGCTCATGAAACTGATGATCCTGAAGCAGATGGACATATGACAAAATATAATTGCCAAATCAAAATGTTCAAAACCCCAAAACCTGATTTATAATGCTCTGCATTTCAGGGTA